TTATTTTATCATTTAAAAATACCATAAAATAATTGATTTATTTTATAAACTGATCATAGTGAAGTATTAAATAATACGTAGTATCGTTCAAACCTTACCTGAAAATACCTTATGTGATACTTGTATTATACTTTGATATAAATTATATCGATGGGTGTTAATTAATAAAAAGAAAAAGGTACCCGAGTTTACGTGGTAAACGTGGAATACTATAAGCAGTGCTAACGGTAACACTATTTGTATTTGATAAAAGAAATAAAAATATTTAAATAAATATTTTGCAATTAAAAACCTTAAAATTTTATTTATATTGTTAGAGTTAATAACCTTAACAGATAATTGTAAACGATCCACGTTCATTGTTTTCTCCACCAAATGTCAAATTTCTAAAATTGCGATTTCAGTCAGATTAAGACTTTATTTGGTAAATGTTGCGAGGTGTTACATACGTACGTACGTATAATTCAAGACAATGTCAATCGATAATCTATAAATAGACAAAAAAAACTTTTTTTTTTGTGTACATAAATTGTGTACAAAATGTTGTACCTTCTAAATAACCCTTGGATCTTTAAGAAAAGGTATAACGATAATGATAAAATCATTTAGACTGAATTATGAGTCTTTTTAAAGACTTAGATCAACCATTGACCGATTGAACAATAACCCAATTGATCGGTAAAAAATATTATCGATTAAAAATAACGATAACAACGATGTGGGGTTGGAATTGATATTTGCATTTAAATGCGTTGCATAAAAAAATGGATAAATGGTTAGTTTTAAAAAAAATTTAACGTACGTACATATTCTATAAATTTATTATTTTAGTATGCTGCATGAGTTTTGAGGAATCGGTTTATTAAGTTCATCCTGCATATTTCAAAAATTTACGATTTGACTGACCAATAATTTTGCAACTATCCTAATTTTTTTAACCAAATTTGACTAACAAATAAACTTGTTTTGACTGGTTAATATGTAGATTAGTTAACAATGTTACATTGAATCTATTGTTACGTACGTTCGATAATAAACATCTTGATTTAACTTACAGTTAATGTTAAGTAAAATCAAAAAAAAATTTTGCACCCGAAGGCGCATCCACTCAAGATTGAACGTGTCATCCTTGTGCAGGGGCCATGCTAATCTTCTCTGTATCGTTCCAATTTTAATAAGTGTCGCTCCGAAGAGACGACACTCATAGTGCGATTTGGAAATTTATATATCACCTAAAGTTTTGTAAACAAAAAATTATGGGATTTAATTCAAGGTTTTGATTGGTTGTTTATTGTTGATCATTTGGACTGCGAGTAATATTACGTAATACGTAGATAAAAAAAAAAAAAAGATAAAGGAAAAAATGAGAAAAAATAAAGAATTTCACCGTACTCAGATTATAAAGTACACAGAGATGAACGGTTTATCCTTTTTGAGAAATAGAATGTCTGACGATTTTTACCTCACTGGTAAGTGTACGATGTTATAAAGATTCTTGGGAAATTTTTTTAAAATAATTTCTATTTTAAAGAAAAAACCGGGTTTTTGGGTCACAAACTTTCCATACTATCTGTATATAATATAGTTAACTGTTTAATTTTTTTTTTCAGGGTTTAGGATTGCTCGAAAGTGCTCGAAAAGTATACGATAATCTAAGTTTCTTTAATATTGTATTAATAGTATTAATAGAAACTTTTTGATGTTAGTCATATATGATAATCGATTACTTAAAAACGGTAAAGTTGCTTTGATAACAAAAAAGATCACAAGATAAAATTGTCCGAAATCTCGGATATTCACTCAGATATTCACTCAGATATTCATTCAGATATTCACACGCGTAACTATTTAAGAAATTGAATACTTTATATGATTTTTTATCTCTGCATTTATTTTTATTTATTTGTTTGTTTATGAAATTGCACGTTTTTCTAAATCTTCATACAGTATCAGATACCGATAAATCAACCGATAAATCAGGTTTGTTTTTTTTTTAGAATAAATATATGATTATATCTAACAAGGAAAAACCATTTGTAGTCTGATTTTTTGTCTTGCTAAAGCTTGTTGCATATGTTTTTTCCTGGTAGAAAATGTCCCAAAGATTTAAACAATAGAACAAATCCACTATACTTACGTTAGCATTTGTGAAACGATTTATCCATTTATCTGCAGAAACTGGTTATAAATGACATTTCTCTAACCAAATAAAGATTAGTATAATTTTTCTTAATTGGCTTCTTAAAAATCTACTAATCTTTATTTGTATTGTGTAATGTCAGTATGATCAAAATTGAATATATTTAAAAAAGAAAAAGAATCACTTAATAGAACAATATATCCAATCCTTTTGAGTTTTAAGATCAAATTTTTTTGATCATAATACGCCATTTTTCTCAATTATTCTCATTACATTGTTTTTTTATCCTATACTTATAAATGGTAACTTATTTATAATATATTTATAATACCGAATAATATAAGCCGTTACGTATCGAGAAATTCATTTATTAATGTACACGTGATATATATATATATATATATAAATATATATACAAATATATATACATACATATTTGTACATATATATATATATATTGTATATATTTGTATATATAATAATCTACTTTAATGTACATCAGTCGGTTAAATGAGGATTGGTAGCCTTCTCAGTATTCTTCGAAAATGTAACATTGATGTTACAAGAATGTAACACATTTCTTGTGCTACGACGCACGTACTTAATAATACACCAATTTCTGAATCCCAATCACTATTTGCCATCCATTATTATTTGCCCATCAAATATTAATATACGTTGACCAGACAGAGTAATTCGAAAAAAAAAAAAAAATTATAAATTTTTTTTTTTTTTTTTATTATTCACTTTTTTTTTTAACTCTCGTGAACTCTCGAGAATTTTTGTGAAATTATGGTTACAAAATTTGATATTGATTGTCTCGTTATAACCTTGGAATTTCTTCAAGATTCTCCTACTTCTCTATTCTCTTGCGCTTTAGTTAATCGAACTTGGTGCAAAAATGCTTTACCAATTTTATGGAGAAATCCTTGGCATGATTCTATTATTGATGCCATAGATCCTATTAGAAGAAGACGTTTATTAATTTCAAAATATATTGCTACTTTGCCGTCTCCTTCAAAATCTATTCTTATAAAAAACAAAATTAATTTACCTCCTCCTATAATAAATCCTATTTTTGATTATTCAGCTTTTATTCGTTATTTAAATTTAGATGCTCTAAAATTATCTATTAAATCTTGGATTTATGATTCAAATTCTCCAAAAGAATTTCATGGTGTCGTTTGTCCTCAGATCACTGTTGTTGCAAGAGAATTATTATTATATTTCCTTAAAAAATCTCCTTCTATACTTTGTATTGAAGCAAAATATGGTAACGATCTCCTTGAAATCCTTTTAGATATTTTAAATTCTTTTCCTGATTCAAAATTAAAATTTAATGATTTAAGAGAATTAATTTGTCATGGTGCTTTAAAAGTTATTCCTACTTTTTTCTCTAAACTTTCTATTATTAGTAGAACTATTCAACGTTTAATCATTGATCCTTATCAAGATATTGAACATTTGGCTACTTTAATTAAATCTCAAAAAAATTTAAAAGAAATTACTATAGGTCATTCTTATACAAGTCCTTTTTCTACTTCAAGTCGTGAAGCTGTTTTATCGGCTTTAAGTAATTCAAGATCTATCACTTTATTAAAAATAAAGTATATGTATTTTCCTTTAATTCATTTAGCTAATTTAGTAAATTTAGAAGAATTAAGTTTACAAGGTTTTGGAAAACGTGAAGTTATGAATGAAATTTGGGAACCTTTATTATCTATATCTATGTTAAAACTTAAAAAATTATTTATTTCAAGTTTATTTACAAACGCTAATTTGGAAATTTTTTCTAAATTTATTCAAAAATCTCCTAAATTACAAGAATTAACTATTCGTAGTAGTAGAATTTCCGATCCTGAAAATTCTAAATTACTTCTTTTATCTATATCTCAATCTTGTAGAAATTTGGTTAAATTTGAAGGTCCAATAATGGATCAAAATGTTAATGAACTTTCTCAATTATTATATTCTTGTCCAAATCTTTCTTTTCTTTATCTTCATCCTTCAACTGAATATTATTTTATGCAAGATCAAATGGACTTTGATAATCTTTTAAAAGAAATTACTCGTATTCAACCTGCTCGTTTGGATTTATTAAAAATTGCTAGAGGTTGGAAATTTTCTGGTGAATTAATTGGTAAATTTTTAGAAAGTAGAAAACAATTAGGAAAACAAATTTGTCTTTATTGGAGTCAATCTATTTCAACTACTGAAAGTTTAGATAAAATTGTTAAAAAATATTATGATGAAGGCGTTTTTATTCATTATAATAGAAATAAGTATGAAGATGTTGAAACTTACCTTAATCAATCAATATCAAAACATTAAAAATTTTATCTATTTAATTTACGTATATATTGTAGTAAACATTATAGTCTTTTTATAAGTACGTATAGATTTTTTTTTTTCTCTACATTCTTTCTTTCATTCTTTCTTTTCGCAACAACGAAAATTTGTCAATTATTCTAATAAAATGTATTTCATTTCCTGTAAAAAAAAAAATATATAATATATATATATATATGTATAGAAATTTCATGAGCATACATACATAACTTTCTTTCATAATAACATTCTTTCATAATTTTTTTTTTTTTTATTAATAATAATTTTAAATGAGTTTCAAATAGTGCATGGGGTGATCTTGAATTAATTTAATTATTAATAATTTAATTTACATAAAAAAATTATTTGTCCTACACATACATAATAAATAATTACGAAATAAAAAAAATTTCGTTAAATTGTTAAATTGTTAAATTGTTATATATCAGTTATTGTTATCAGTTATCATTTATCGTTTATTGAAAAAGAAATTTAACCGTGGAAATGTTAAACAAGTATTTATAAACCTTACTATTACAGTATTTTGCGGTCATTATTTTTATAAATATACGAAATTTTTTTTTTCGTTTATTTGATCGCCCTTATATCATAATATTTTAGAGTGATATATTGCTTATCTTGCATCTCGATGTAACAATTAATCAATCCAACCGTTTCCAAATGAGAACTCGTAAATCTAATTTTTATTTACTTTAAAATCAAGATTTTCGATCTCAACAGTACATACGTAGGTTTTTCTGTAGTGATATAAAATTGTTGATGATAAAATCAAATTCTGCAAAGTCCTGTACATTAAAAGTTTATGATTGACGTACGTACGTACGTACGTACGTTAAAGATGAGTGACGAATGACGAAACTATTTCGTTAGGCAACTTCAGAACTTCGAGTTGACAAAATGACGAAACTCATAAATGTAAGAAAATATCTTTTTCTCTAGGAAATAATGTGAAGTCAATTTTTTGTTCTATTTTTTTTTTTTGGCACATTGATCCGACATTACCCAATGATTTACATTAATCACCCGGATGTGTCAGATATCTGTTAATTAAAAAAATTACTATGCTTTCATATGAATGGGTGAACTTATGATGAAGTAATTTTGAAAATTTTAAAATTCAGAATAGCCAGATGTCGTCATTAAGAAGCTTGTCAAAAGAGGGTCAACTGTGTTTTATATTTTATTGGTCAAATCAATTTCGTCAAAAGTTTAGTCAGTATCGCACTGCATAAAGTATTCACAAAATATAATACCCTTTGATTAAGACCCGGGTATTATTCACCGACCATCTGGCTTAATTCTTGATAAATACCCGGGGGTATAACTATATTTAATTTATTATTTCATATGATACGCTGTATACGATAGTTGCAGGGACGGGGAATACTTCCACTATCAAATTGGAAATTTTTATCATACTAACATCAATTATTCCATTTATTCCATTTTATCCCATTTTATTCCAATGTCACCAAAAAAAAAAATTTTTTAGCAAATCAAAAATTTAATTTTCAAAATAATTTTCTATTTCCGAAGATTATTACATTATTACGCAATAAATAGCGAGATTTGATTGGCTATAATTTATCATTTTATTCATTTTATTCCATTCTATTCTTAATAGAAGTATTCACCGTCCCTGGATAGTTGTCATTCGTCAAAGTTTCGTAGACAAACCATTGATGAAACCATTTCATAATCGCAAAAATAGTTTTATCGCCCATCTTTTAAAAAATGCTTGGCTACACTATATAATTCTTTTTAAAATTTTAATTTTTTAAAAAATGCTTGGCTACACTATATAATTCTTTTTAAAATTTAATTTTTTAAAAAAATTTTTAATCAAAGGTTTCTTAACGACTACTTAATAATGTTTTTTATTTTAATTCTATAAACGTGTAAAATTAAAATGAAAATTTTTTTACCAAGTTTAATTTGGAAATTATCGAGAAATCAAGAAATATTTATTGTCGCGGCTGATGATGAAATTTGAAACTCGATTTAAAAACATAAGCCCTGCTAAAAAAAAAAAATCTATATTCTTAAATTTCAAAAAATATATTCGCATCGGCCAATTTTAGCTTAAGTCACATTTATTTAAAATTTTTTTAATTATGTAATCAAAAAGTTATATTATCAATTTTTTATTTATAAGTTAATTCAAAGCAAATTTGGTTAAAATTTTATTATAATATTAAGATACAATTGGATTTCATATCCGCCCGCGTTGACAAAGTGAAAATTGGAATTTTTTTTATATATGTACAGTATATGGGAACTTTGTTAGGAAAACCGCCCTCCAAGATTCTCAGATCAGGCAAATTCAGACAAACTTGGACCAGAATATTGATTCTTATTTACATCTTTTACTTATTGATTCCATAGTTTGTTAAATGAACTATAGAATCAATAAAGAAAAATGCTGATTTACATGTAATAAAAATAGATATTATGGTCTAATTTTGCCCGATCGAAAATCTTGATGATTTACGTAAAACTAATAAGATTCAAATTACGGTCTTAACTGACAAACTAGGTTAACAGGAACTGTTGTGAGTCCGAAGCCTAACATATTATTACTGTTATTAATATTAATTACTATTCCAAGTTCACGGGGATTAATGAATAATATCCTGATCCATATCAGATATGAGTGACAAATGGGACATTGGTTTATTTATTTGATAATAAATGATAAACCAATGTTCCATTTTCCTTTGGCGTCACTCATATGTGAATAAGCGGAAACGAAGTTTCCGCTAATCCCCAATGGATCGGGATATTATTATTATTAATTAATTATCGGCCAATAAGAATAATATCACGTAGCGGACAGATGGATAAAAGGTCTAGTATGGACCGTAATAGCCAATCACAATAAAGTCACGTGGCGGGCAGACGGACATTTTTCAATTAAAAGGTCTAGTGTAGAGTGTCTAGGATTATGCTGCGATGCATTATGCGCATAATTTGCAATTTTTACTATATGAAATCGCATAATTGGCTTATGTTTATGCACATGTAAGCAAAATTTGATTGGCTAAAAAAGTTAATCGGTTTGTACATTTAACTGTAATCACCTGACTTGACATGCTTTTTTGAATTTAATTGGCTAATAACTTAAAATTTCGCATAATTTGCATAATTTACTATTTGTCGCATGCATAATTTGGCAATCTTCGCATCATAATCCTAGACACTCTAGTCTAGTGTGGACCGTAATAGCCAATCACAATAAAGTCACGTGGTGGACAGACATATACTGTACTGTACATGTAAGTCCTCGCTATGGTTCGGATAATCAGTCTTTTCCAACAATGAGTATTAAGATTTGTCATGTTGATCATGTATCATATATTAACTAGCAAAACGGCGACGTTTCATAGGGTTACTTCTTAGGTGATTAATAATAAAATATGTATACGTATACGAATAATACGTAGAATGTGTGTTAATTTTAGCACAACTTTATGTATATGCATATGCATTTACCGTACGATACTGACTACAGTACCTCGGGTACTTTATCAAATTTCTTGAATAGTACCCACCTGGGTACTAATTATACGTAGTTTCAATATTATTTAATAAGGATTTTAAATCTAAATCTATACCCGAGTATTTTTCGATTTCCTGAATCATGAACCCATGAATTGTACCCGGGTTTTTTCATGGGGTAGTGCCGTACGGTAAATATACATCAACTTTAGTTTATTAATTTTTCCATATCAATTTTCATTTAAAAACTTTTTGGTATTAATTTCTCATGATTACATCAGCCACATAATCCCGTCTTATGTACTAATACAATCGTCCCTTTACAAATATAAACTGCGTCGCGAAGAATATAAATAAATATTACGTTCGTCCACTTGGATTCTCTTTTTCGACAATATTATTTTGATGTCTTGCCTTTTTGTTGACTTATTATTTCGATAGTTTAGCTGTTCTTCAGGTGTTATAGAAGCCAGTCTCCTTCTAGCGTCATTTCTTGCAGCCTTTTGTTCAGGTGTATAAATTCTTTTATGTTTTTTAATCGATACAATAAATAAATAATTGGCTTTTTAATTAGCTTTAATTAATCGTCTTTTATTTATTACATTATTATATTTATTATGTTAATCGTCATTTTATTATCACGTTAATAGTCTATTTTATTTTAATGATCGAATTTCTGATTAACGTTATTTACTCATCAAGCGAAAAGTATCTCCACGATATGCGTTATTTGGTTCATTAATTAATTTTTGCAGGGGATATGACCGTTCAAGAGCTATATAATTACAGGGGCGGGAGCCGGACATCGACCCAAATATTGTAGACCATACAAAGGGTTTCCCCTCCGCTCTAGTCCAATTATCGTTAATTCAGGCTTCAGTTTTATAATTTACAAGTACGTAGGGCATAATACAATTTTGAGTTCAAATAAGACCAAAATTAAAATTAACATTTTGTATATAAATTTTCAAAAAATCAAGTTGTAAGAATCATTGCCTAAAAAAAAAATAATTTTTTTCAAAATTACTTGTTTCTGCAAAGCCAACGACTTCATAAGTTGATTTGTTAATGTTGAAACAAAATTTTAAATTGGTAGAATTATTAAAAGGTGAAGCCAATGCAACTGAAGTTGAAACTTTGGCAGCTGGTTGAATAAAAAAAAATTTTTTATTAGGTTTTTTAGAGGCATAGTGAAGATTATGAAAAACAGAAGGAGTACGTATGCTAATTCTACGTACGTACGTATAAATGTCATTATTTATTGATTGAGACAATAAACTAATACGTACGTAAAAAGCATTGTACATACGTACATTAACAAACGTATTTTCCGGTTAAATAACCTAAATAAGTGACTTAACGATAAGTGGCAGATAATTTAACGAAGCAGCAAAAAATTTTTTTGTCATATATTTTTTAGACTATTCTTAAAAATTAATTTAATATAAATATAAAGAAATATATAACTTATTTCAAATATACCT